TTAATTTCAAACAAATCATTCAGATATTACAACCTATAGTCATCGATTATCTTTCGCCACATTTGTATATAGTTTATATTTTATAATATTTTATTTTTTTAGAAAACGTTTTCAACGGATTTCGAAAATTGTGAGTGGTGTGCGGCATTCTTAGATAGTTGCGCAAACGACAAGAGAAACAAACAAATTAATTAAAAAATATTATAAAATATAAACTATAAACAAATGTGGCGAAAGATAATCGATGACTATAGGTTGTAATATCTGAATGTTTTGTTTGAAATTAAATTGATTTTTTTACGGTCTAAGTCGTATTTTGCAATTTTCTCAATTTGTATGGCCGCTAAGTTATTCGGTATGAGACGTCTTTAACAATTTTCTCCTTATAGACGTAGCGATCAAAAGCGCTTTTTTATCGCATTAAGCCTATACCCCCTTTCATTTTTCGCGAACACTCCCTTTAAAGGAAAACCGAGGGTATCTCACCCTGTTTAGCCCCTACCCATCCATATAGTGTAAAATTTTCACCTTCACCTTATATGCACAGAGCGTCCCATATCATATTAGATAATCTCCAAGCTTTAACGCCAAAAAACGAACATAATACTCGAAAACCTAATATTTTCTGCAAGCAAATTTTTATATTAGCCTAATACTTCAAAACATTTTTAAAAAGATTATTTTTTTAAATTTTCTAATTAGCCCTTTAAATCTCAATTTAGAGCTATAAACGATCTAATATTGATGTGGGACACCCTGTATCTAATATTGATGTGGGACACCCTGTATCTAATATTGATGTGGGACACCCTGTATCTAATATTGNTCACCTCCTCTTTTCATGCCTTCTTTTCCAATCCCTCCCCTCCCTTCCCATTCCTACCTACTCATCATACCCTTTCTCTCCATTCACCTCCTCTTTCCATGCCTTCTTTTCCAATCCCTCCCCTTCCCTTTCCATTCCTCACTACTCACCCTTCCCTTTTCCTCCATTCCCCTCCTCTTTCCATGCCTTCTTTTCCAATCCCTCCCCTTCCCTTTCCATTCCTATCTTCTCATCCTTCCTTTTCCATCCCTCCCCTCTACTTTCCATGCCTTCTTTTTTAATCCCTCCCCTTCCCTTCCCATTCCTCTCTACTCACCCTTCCCTTTCCCTTCATTCTCCTCCTCTTTCCATGCCTTCTTTTCCAATCCCTCCCCTCCGTTCCCATTCCTACCTACTCACCCTTCCCTTTCCATCCATCCCCTCTCTACCCCTCCCCTAAGCACAGTCGGCCTATTGTTACCCATATATGGTCTTTAGATGTTAAAACACAAATTAGCATCAGAATATGTTTCTTTCTTTAATTCTTTAAAATACTCTTCTTGAAATTTTTCCTCACTAAAACCATCGTTAAATATTTTTGTTTTACAGTTTGAAAGGTTGAGTAAGGAATATGAATAGGAAAGATATTGGTTGTATATGTCTGTATGTGAACAAGATGTAATTTTTTAAATAAGTTCAGAATGAAGCCCAGGGGATGATTACTAACATAGATCAATAATAATAAAGATAGGACACTAGATGTCGTCGTTTCAAGATTTAGGGATTTTTCGTTTACAGTAACCCTGAGGCAGAAGCCCAAAGGAGTTACGAGCATGCTCTTTCTCTGTCTTATAATTCAACGAAGCATGCGCGTAACTCCTTTGGGCTTCTCTCTCAGGCTTAGTATGAACGAAAAACCCCTGAATCTCGAAAGACGACATCTAGTGTTCTATATCTATATTGATTATTAAGTTTGCCTAAAATTATAAAATGATATAACCCCTGAACCACCCACTTTTCGAAGCTGATTTTTTCGTGGAAGAACTTGACCCCCAACCCCCAACACTCCCATTAGAGAAATATTTTTATGAATCTTTGAACCTGTTGTAAAAAGTGTTTTGTAAGTGAGTTTGCGGTGTTGAACAGGTATGATTAGTATCAAATCCTCCCACAGTTGATGGGTTTTCGTTCATTAATGATCTTTATAAAATACCTTTTTTATCTCGTTCAATATAATATTTAAAAGGTTGAAATGATCAATAGCATGTTAGACGTATTTGTAAGATTACAAGTTCTATTGTTAATTTTATTTTTATTTTAAATTAATTGTTCATTTTGTTATTTGAAGTATAAATCAGAAATTTTGCTGCTGTGTCCCAATCCCATTTAATCCATGCTGGTATAAGGACATTGTAAAGATAATTTTGGACATTATATCAACATATATTGTGACATTATACACATATATTGGTACATTATCAACATATATTGGGACATTATCAGCATATATTGGGACATTATCAACATATATTGGAACATTATCAAAATATATTGGGACATTCTCAACATATATTGGAACATTATAAACATATATTGGGATATTTTCAACATATATCGGGACATTATCAACATATATTGGGATATTATCAACATATATTGGGATATTATCAACATATATTGGGACATTATCAACATATATTGGGACATTCTCAACATATATTGGGACATTTCAACATATATTGGGACATTATCAACATGTATTGGGACATTCTCAACAAAGACAGATAGACAGATAGACAGATAGACAGATAGACAGATAGACAGATAGACAGATAGACAGATAGACAGATAGACAGATAGACAGGATAGACAGGATAGACAGATAGACAGATAGACAGGATAGACAGGATAGACAGATAGACAAATAGACAGATAGACAGATAGACAGATAGACAGATAGAAATATAGACTGATAGACAGATAGAAAGGTAGCCAGAAAGACAGATAGACAGATAGACAGATAGACAGATAGACAGATAGACAGATAGACAGATAGACAGGATAGACAGATAGACAAATAGACAGATAGACAGATAGACAGATATACAGATAGACAGATAGACAGATAGACAGATAAAGAAACAAAGAGTAACTTTTCTATAGATACACAAATAGACATAAAGACAAAGGCAGATGATAGATAGATATACTTATAAACAATCAATACATTAAAATATCTTAATTGGTATCTTAGCATAACGTCAATATCTTATATATAAAGAAGAACGCCGGAATATGTATATATGCGAGTAACCATTTTCTAACTAAAAAAGAACTTTATTGCAGTACAATTACAAATATCAACTTTTTAGAAAATTGGTAACCCTGACTAAATACTTCATCAAGTTACATGTATTTCACACTAAACTAAGCTAGCGGGGTGGGTAAAAAGGCCTTTGCAAAAATTCTGTTCGCGCCATCAAAGTTAAAACCGGGCCGACCTGGATAGGGGCGGGGCGGTACTTGCCTAACGTCTCTATGGGCGGTACAAGGGGTCGGTCCGGTTCGAATTCAATTGGACCCTAGTCCACCGTGATTTATTGCTTTATACTTACAATACAAATTATTAATAATATCCTGTTATTTATTAGGAATGGGACGAGGAATTAGCTACAATTGCACAGAGGTAATTTTAATAAATCTTAACTTTTTAACAATGATTTATTCTTTATTTTTATTGTTTCAAACACATAGAGAATAGAATCTATATTAGAGGGGAATTTAGATAATCTCTCGGTATGAATTTTTTCAGTCTCTTTCAGCCTGAAAGGGAGTTCAAAGTGTACAAATCATGTAAATGTTCACAAATTATATGCAGTAGAGTACATTAATACAGTATGTTCCCTAGACTATTCATTTCAATTTCGAAATTTTTAAANAGAAAAACTTGAGTATTATAGAATATTTGATTCTATTCTCTATGTTCAAACATTGATTTAGTTTGAATTAAATTATTTAGTAACGTATTTAAACTATATAAACTTGTCACCCTCCCTTTAAATTAAAGCGTTATATAATCATAAAGAAGTGCATGAAAGTTTTATCTTTTCTATCATTTGACGAAATATAAAATGTTATTTGACAACTAAAGAAATAAGGTTTGCGTGATAAAATTCAAAGGGAAGGGTTAAAAACACACTTAATGCAAAATTAAGAAAATGTAAAAAGTTTTCCTACTTCACAGAGATCTAGAGAACTATGAAAGTTATGATTTTAGACCGGATCTAGTTCAGACCGGATCTAGTTTAGACCGGATCTAGTATAGACCGGATCTATTTTAGACCGGATCTAGTTTAGACCGGATCTATGAGACTGGATCTAGTTTAGACCGGATCTAGTTTAGACCGGATCTAGTTTAGACCGGATCTAGTATAGACCGGATCTATTTTAGACCGGATCTAGTTTAGACCGGATCTAGTTGAGACCGGATCTAGTTTAGACCGGATCTAGTTTAGACCGGATCTAGTTTAGACCGGATCTAGTTTAGACCGGATCTAGTTGAGACCGGATCGACTTTGAAGAGTCGAAGAGTCGCAACTCCTCGTGCTTTCGATTTACCTCACCTAGTCACCATACTTTTTTTGTAGTCTTGGGCATGTAGATTTTAAATATTGTTGTTTAAAACTCAATTTAAAAGGCGTATTTTCTTGTGGGCTTCCATTTTTTTTTGGCTGACAGTGAATATTTAAACCTTGATCATAACAAAAGTAAAGGGGGGGAGGGCGGGGGGAGGGGGCTGAATAACCATTGAACAATATAACAAGTAAAGCTGAATAACCTAGATATATCAAGTTACTCTTTCGTATGTTAATCCCACCAAAAACTTTTAAATGTTCTTATTTGTTTGTCGATCCTTTCATGAAGTTATTTGGAAATTATTTATTTTTATTGAGATTCTTTATATTATGTAACTTACGGACATCTATATATATCTTTACAGACAGTAAAAAAATATCTTCCATATTTTTACTAATGAATAGAGGTTTAACAGTACCCCTGTGAATCGGCCATGCACTATTCTTAAAAAAATCTTCTAATTTGAATTTAAAAAATAAAATTAAATGCGTAAATTATTTTTTTTTTACTGAACTATTGTGCGTCTTTGATGGCAGGTATTTATTAATTTGGGACTCCACCCCTCAACTAAGCTTTCAATGTGTACTGCAGTGATTTACAGTACTCTAACCGAAGAAATAGCGGGGTTTAGTGGAGAGTGATTCCCCTTAATATAGTTAGTGGGCATGAAATTAATATATTTGCCCCCTGCAGAGTGCAGATATACAAGATGAAATAATCCGTCACAGACTATCTTCAAATATGCGTAATTCTATCGAATATACGCTAGATTTGCGTAAATCCACACACAATTAACATATATATATATATATAATATATAATATATATATATAATTTGAATAAAATATATTTGAAATGAAGATAAATTATTCATGATAAAAATGAATGAAATATGGATAAAAATATATAAATGGTTTTTAAGACACGCGGACCAGTGTGTTTTTGCTCATGACTGTTCAGACTGCAGAAAAGTAAACAGGTCTATTTAAGCTTTTTTTCGATCAATTAAAATTATTTTTTAAAATCAATAACAAAATGCAAAGGAAAATATCCAGTCAATACAATTGTTAAAGATTTTTATTCCAAAAATAAGAATTCAAAGAATTTCAAATAAAGATAAAGAAGCTGTACAATTTCCCCAGGAGCTATTTTAATTAATTAATTAACTATTGGACGATTTTATTTCTTAATTTTTCTATCAAATTTAAAGTTACAAATTATGGTAGACCACATTTTGCAAATCCCAAGATCAGGATTGTTCAAAATCAACTTTTTTTTCAAGTTTATTGTGACACCCTGTATGTATTGAGATTATTTTAATACAATTTTTCAAAGGTTTGGGGTTGGGCAGAATCTGTATATATCCAAGCAGAGCCTACGCTTACCAGATAATAATTGGAAACAGGAATATAGAAAATATCGTCATTAATTTTCTATAAAGCTCCTTGCTCATATATATATATATATATATATATATTCATATGTCAGCTATAGTTGGCCAAATGGCTTGACCAATTTGACTGGAATTTGTTGATGAAACCCACGGTACCTTGGGGGTAACATAGGCTTAAAAACGAATATTTATGCTTTTTTTTCACAATTAATTTTTCTTCTTCAAAATTCAAATTTTGTGTTTCTTCAAAATTCAAATTTTTTGTTTCTTCAAAATTAAATTTTTTTTTCCAAAATAATTATTTTTTCAATTCCACGGGCAACGCCAGGCATTTCAGATAGTAATTTTTTAAACCACTTTCTCTCTATAAAAAAAAATCCTAATTCTGGTTAGAGACACCCAATTTATAAAGGTTACCTACCAAAAGTCCTATCTACAAAAAACTGTTGTAATCTGTGTCATTAAATCATTTAATTTTATTTACGACCTAATTATCTATATATTTAAATATAAACTAATATTTTCTATAAACATTTGTCCTTGTCAATTTCTTTTATTTTTTAGAAATATTATTTGTTTAAAGGATTTTGACACAGTCAATTTCAGATAGAACAAATATTGGTCGCGATCCTCCTAAAATGTAATCCTGTATGCTGAGTCCATTAGCGCCTGATCCAATCAGGGTTCAGTCATGTGTTTGTTGTCTATTCTGATTCTGGACCAGTAGAAATTGTATGGCGGTAACATCTGTCTTTCTATCTATTTCATTATCTAATTAAAGATATGAATCCTTCAATCGGCGCTATCAGTAAATGGAAATATTTACTTCTACTGAAACTATAGTGGTACAGGCCTCAGTCTATACCCCTTTTCATGTCACCATAGCAGTTTCTTTAATTCCTTCAAACAATTTCTGATATTTTACACATACAGGGAATAACTAATTGGTATGATGAAGTTTCCCTGTTCAGTCGGACCAAGGTAATTTTTTACAGTAACTTAATGAGACAGAGGCAGTGCTTAGGATCCAGATCCGCTGGGTCCGCAAGATTTTGGCTTTCTTGGATCCGGATCCGAATCTTCAAAAATATGCGGATCCAAAAAAAGCTTTTTTACTCTCAAAATCCAAATCTGAACTGTTAATAAAAGAGAGATTTAAAAAAATTCCTTATCTCTGAATGGTTCATTAAGTTTTACCATAAAAAAGCAAAAAATTAAGAAAAATAATTTGACAATTATGCTTTGTTTAAAAATTTAGTAAATCTCAAAGAAATGTAAATGACCTGGATCCGGATTTGGATCTGGATACATTTTTTCCAGTGCAGATCCAGGTTCCGGATCTGCATCAAAATTAACTGGATCCTTAGCACTGGTTAAAGGAACACTGAACAGTCTAAAATACTCTCTTTTAACTAATTAGACCCTCACTATTCGCAAATGGAACAGCAGTGTAATACTTTGATTTTTCAAACTTTAACTAAATTTCAAAGTATGAATTATCCAAGGTGTCCGAAATTGAGTTAACTTTTTTCCTTTCAAGATTTTAAAAAGTTAAAAAAAATATTTTTTAGGTTGAACCTTTTCAATTTGCTGCCAGCTATGGACATTATTCTCAACTTGTTTGGGCAGATACACACAAGGTAGTTATTAGTATATTCTGTACACAAGATCAGATATTAGTATATTCAGTACACAAGATCAGATATTAGTATATTCTGTACACAAGGTTAGTTAGTAGTATATTCTGTACACAAGATCAGATATTACTATATTCTGTACACAAGCTCAGATATTAGTGTATTCTTTAAACAAGATCAGATATTAGTGTATTCTGTAAACAAGGTCAGCTATTATATTCTGTAAACAAGATCAGATATTAGTATATTCTGTAAACAAGATCAGATATTAGTATATTCTGTAAACAAGATCAGATATTAGTGAATTCTGTAAACAAGATCAGATATTTGTGTATTCTGTACACAAGGTCAGATATTAGTGAATTCTGTTAACAAGATCAGATATTAGTGAATTCTGTAAACAAGATCAGATATTAGTGATTACTAAGTGTAAACGTTCTTTAATATCTGGTTATTCAATTAGTTTATTTTCCAAAGAATATTTTGAAGATTAAAAATTAGAAAACTACATGGTGATGACTATAACACTCTGGAATAGGAAGACGACTTTTTGGCTCAAGTTATGACTTTAAACAGTCCAATAAACATGAAACACAGCAATTGTGCAGTGTAAACAGAACAATTTCACTTAATAAATGATTTAATAACTTTCTAGTAAAACTATTTCATTTGTAACAACACAAAATACACTTAACTATTGGTTTAATGTCGTCTTTGTATTCCAAGGTTTTCTGACTATTACTGTAAGTACAGAGCGATTTATTCTAATAAAATTCATGATAAACCCTTTTATCGCTTATTCGTTTAAAGATTTAGTTTTAAATGACTGTCATTGTAATTTTTAACCTAACCTGTATCTAATCAAAATTCAGGAAGATATTATTAGTCGTGCATAAACTCCAAAGCAATTTGGTCAAGAAACCACAAAAGAAAATTACAAAATTTCAAAGAGAAAAACTAAACTTTCTCCATCATTTTTGCTCAAAAACAAAGAATGACTTGAAATGATGTTTACCTATAGATCGGTTGCGGTTTATCCTCCTATCGTGAGGGTAAATGGTTTGCTAGCCTTTATACCTGTAACTATGGACCTAACGGAAACTTTATCAAAGGACAGATGTACAAACAAGGTAAAATACTTACGAGACTTTTGATTAAAACTTGAATATTTTTGATTAAAAGTTGAATGTTTTAGATTTAAAGTTGAATGTTTTTGATTAAAACTTGAATATTTTTGTGCTAGGGTCTGGTTGTTCTGAGTGTAGTGGCAATGAAACGTGTTCCATTGACTTTCCTGGACTTTGCGGTAAAAATCAGAAATTATAAATTATGAATTATAAATTGTAAATTATAAATTAGAATTCAGAAATAATAAACCAAAAAATATAAATTATAAATTATAAATTATAAATTATAAATTATAAATTATAAATTATAAATTATAAATTATAAATTATAAATTATAAATTATAAATTATAAATTATAAATTATAAATTATAAATTATAAATTATAAATTATAAATTATAAATTATAAATTATAAATTATGAATTATAAATTATGAATTAGAAACTAGAAATCATAAATTGAAATTAGAAATTAGAATTCAAAAACATCTTTAAATATTTTTTTTAGAACCTAGATCATCAGCCTTCACCCCACCCAGGCCTACCTTTGTGCCCACACCCAAACCTTCAGTTCAAACTGAAAAACCCTTTATTATTACCAACCCTGAGCCCACTCCTAAACCTACTCCTAGACCTACTCCACCACCTACTCCTAGACCTACTCCTAAACCTTTCCAAACTCCAAGATTTATTCCAACCTCAAGTCCAGTGTTAAACCCAGTGTTTACTCCCAAGTTTGCTCCTGTGCCCAATACTGGACTAAAGAACTTTGCTCCAACTTCAAACAGGTAAAAAGTAAATCCTTAAAGGGACTGTGCTCCAACTTCAAACAGGTACAAAGTAAATCCTTAAAGGGACTGTGCCCCACCTTCAAACAGGTACAAAGCAAACCCGTAAAGGGACTTTATCCCAACTTTAAATAGGTACAAAGGAAACCCTTAAAGGGACTGTGCCCCACCTTCAAACAGGTAAAAAGCGAATCCTTGAAGAGACTGTGCTTCAACGTCAAACAGGTACAAAGTAAATCCTTAAAGGGACTGTGCCCCACCTTCAAACAGGTACAAAGCAAACCCTGAAAGGGACTTTGCCCCAACTTTAAATAGGTACAAAGGAAACCCTTAAAGGGACTGTGCCTCACCTTTTAACAGGTACAAAGCAAACCCTTCAAGGGACTTTGCCCCACCTTCAAACAGGTACAAAGCAAACCATGAAAGGGACTGTGCATCAACTTCAAACAGGTACAAAGCAAACCCTTTAAGGGACTGTGCCCCAACTTCAAGCAATTAGAAAGAAATCGTTGTTTTTTATTATCTTAAAAAGATATAATATCTTTGAATTTCCTTAATTTTCTTTATAGGCAAAAATATCAGAATATCGAATGCCAAATAATCAAAAAAAATGTTCGCTAAACAGTTAGGAGAACTATTTTTTTTTCACAAATATTATACAATTTTACAATATAGTTAATTTTAAAGATTAAGGTATTCTTAAACATATTTTTATGATAAAACGTCTGTAAAATGCAAGCTCTCTCTTTCACGCAATCTATTTTTTCTTCTTTCTCTTCTCTTCTTTGTTTACATTTCTAGCTTGTAGACCTAATTGAAACGTACTGCGTTTGTACTGTATATTTCGGCATTTGGCATTTGATATTTCGATATTTTTGCCTATAGACCATATATCCGCAAGTCATTTTTGTAGAATACCAGGATTAAAATTTAACCAATTTTCAAAGAAAAAAGTAAAATGTTTTTTCAACGTTTTTAACATTTTAGAGCAGAATATGACTAAGCATTTTTAGTTTGGAATCTATACGTAAAAAGCGCCCAATGTGTGCACTATGTATGTGTGTAAGGGGAATATATGAATATTTGATAGAAATAAATTATTAGCTAACAAGCCAAAGTAAGAACTTTTTAGTCGATTTTTTATGTTTTTTTTTATAAATTTGCTATTTCAACAAAATTTCTCTCAGAATTTAATAAAAAACATTTTTCAGATTTATTCCCCAATCAGTGAGAACAACGGAACAGCCTAGTTTTAAACCAGCTGCAAGGTAAGCTTATTAATTGAATGCCGGCTAAATCCCCCCTAAAAAATAGATTTAATAAACCATGTTTTAAATTTCGATATACGGAAGAGCAAAAAAAAACTTTAAGCAAGAATAGATTGAAAGGGAGTGACTTGCTAGGTAACGTAGTTGAAGAAAAACTTGAGTATTATAGTATATTTGATAAAAGAAAGACGTTTTTACGGTATATGATCGCTAAGTTATGGCATAGACTCGTTTGTCAAATTTTACAAGACCGGGAAAAAAGGTGTTCAAGGAGTAACATTTTTACAATTTTACAGAAAATAAAATTAACCTATATCATTGAAAAAAAGTATTTTTAATTCTTCCCATACGTTTCCGGTAGATTTTTTGAATTATATTTTAAAGACGACTTTTGGAGACATTCGCAGAAATCTGCAAACAATTTTCTAAGATTGAAGAATTCAATATATATAAAGATAATAAAGAAATAATTAAATCTACCATATTGATTTCATCACAAATCTTTTTTAAGAAATATGTTCCTAAACAACAAATGAGTTTACAATAGAATTTTGTTACATTTTTCGTTCACATAAATTCCGCCTGCTTATGAAAAGTCTCATTTTGAAGTGTCACAATGCCTTGGTCTTTGAGTTTACCTCTTTAACCAACTGATGCTTTCTGCAGCCCTAATTGCGTGTACATTTTAGCACTATGAAAATGTTGTTGTTAAATTTATATCGATTTTTACGTGAGAGTTTTAAATCACAGTGCGTTACCTATAGTCAGTCTCTCCCTTTGACAAAAAAGTAATCATATCTCATATATATATAAAGCTAGTTGTAATTTCTGTTTGTCAGGACCAATTTGCCTCAATTTATGATTGGGGAACTGGGGAGAACCACGGGAATGTTTATAGACTGGTTTTGAGATTCTAAGTTATAGAGGGAAAATAGCTAAAATCGTAATATACGACTTTACACGTGTAAACGGCGGGAGTAAATATGAGCACCCTGAGGAACGCTGGGTTTCAAGCTTGTTTATATATATATATATATTCATCCTATTTATGTCATTAGTTCTTTTTTACTTCCTTTTTTCTATCTTTTTTCTTTTCTTTCTTTTTCTTTTTTTCTTTCTTAAATTTTTTTCTTTCTTAAATATTTTTCTTCTTTTTTTCTTTTTTCTTTTTTTTCCTTTGAGGTTTACCAATACCTATTAGAGTATATTACCCTCTTTCTTCAACCTTAATTAGCAACAATTTTTCACTTAATGTTTCTCAAATCTGTCTGTTTGCATAAAATAAAAATGAGTGTCAGATAAATCGTCTTCAACTCGTTTCTACACTCAGTAATTTACTGTGAAATCACCTGTTAACTATACACTAGGAACAACGGACCCACTACCACAGAGAAGAAAATAAATAGAGCGCAATTTACTCAAAAAGTGTAAAACAGACATTTTGTTGTACTGTCACATATTTGTTGTACACATTTGTGCCCTGGAAGAGAAAAATAGTTTTATTAAAACATTTCTCTTTTTTATCCAAATTTTTTTTTCACAACGGCTTGTATCAATGTCCTGGGTTTAGATTGTAAACAATTAACTTAAAACTTTAATTTAAAAAAGAATAAAAATTACTTATAGCGGGGGAATCTCTAATTTTGTCTCTATGTAATCCCAACTCTGTTTCTTAAACCTAGTCTAGTTTAAACTATTCAACATTTAACCCCCCTAATAACATTACAAAGTATATACTTGCAGTCAGACAAGAATTATGCACTTAAGCATTCAAGCTTTAACACCAAAATATTTAAATCAAACTGATGGCAAATCTAGCAAAAGCTATATTTATATTAATCAACATTATGGTTTTCTAAAAAACTGTCCCCCCTTCCCTTTCACAGTCTTCGTATACAATAAAATGTTTAAACTTTTGAGTAAAAATGTGTTTTTTATTTATAAAATTTCCTTTTTTAATGCTTTATCACTCTTATTTTACTTTTTTCTTTAATTCTACGTAAAAGAGTAAAATCTCCAACAAATACTATTTTAAAGTTTATTATTTTTTTTTGTCCAAAGAATATTAAATTTTAAGTATTAAATTAAAAATTTAATATTTTTTGGACATAAGTACACAGAAAAAAAGTCTTAGACCGAGCAGCGCGGCTAGAAGAGTTATAGAGGAAACAAGCGTTGATATCACCAGAATTCGTAAAGATATGTTTTTAAGAAAATGAAACAAAATTAAAAAGGAATTAATTACTGGTCATATTTACATAACTAAAAGCAAAAAGTATTCAAGCTAAGAATAACTTGTTGAACAATTTCACAGGAATACGGAGCTAAAGTTAGTTTAATTTTCAAGATCTAGTTCAGCATCTTCTTGGTCTTCATCATTAATTCCAACCTCCAAAAACAATTTCAAATTCAAAGAAATGCTTCAATTTAAAAAAAAAGACAATGATAAATTTTAATATTCTTGAAAAATCTTTAAAAAAAAACATTAAAGGGAGTGTTCGCGAAACATTAATGAGGGTATAGGCTTACGGCGAAAAAATAAGCGCTTTTGATCGCTAAGTTGCAATATACGACTCGTATCGTAAAATAATCAATATAATTACAAACAAATCATTCAGATATTGCAACCTAAAGTCATCAATTATTTTTCGACGCATTCGTATATAGTTAATATCTCATATTTGTTATTTGTTTTCTATAGAACTAGCCTTAGAGGGCGCTTCGCGCCCATCTTCTAAATTAGTTGTGAACATGTTCTCTTTGTGTACATCGTAAAACAAAACAAAAATAATTCGCGGATTTTCACAAAAAATTTCGTGGATTTTCAAAATTTTCAAAAATTTAATGAAGATCGAATTTTGATGGAGACAAATATTTGAAATTTTGATCATTCATAAACCTTCCCTGTGGTCACGTGAGGTCCCACAAAAAATTTGGGCCCGATCAGTTTAGCCGTTTTGACGTTTATTGGATACAAACAAACAGACATCCAAACAGACAGACAAGCCGAATTTATATGTAGATGCCCTTAGAACGCTTTTTTTCGCTAGGTGTTTCTGCCACACGTAATCATTCAAAGCATTATATTGCAACTTTCATTATACGTCCTTTTTAACAATTTTCTCCTTATAGACGCAACTGACAGAAGTAAGATTAATAGCGTGATCAAACGCGATTAATTTTCGCCTATACCCCCTTTCATTTTTTGCGAACACTCCGTTTAATCTAGGTCGGCAGATAAAAAAGGACCGCATTTAACCAATTTCGAATTGATAATTTGACAACATCCTCCCCCCCTCCTTTCCTACAATTGGTTAATTGGTCTAATTAGCCAGTAAGACCAGGGAGGTCCAGGGAGTTTAAAAAACAATTATAAACAGAGCAGATTATAAAAAATATGGATATTTGAGAGCTAAATCCCGTTTCAAAGTTAACGAGGAAGTCGGCAAAGTACTTTCAAAGCTTTGAGCTGTGTAACCGGAAATGTAGTGTTAAAATCAACTTAGCGCTCTTAAAATGAGAAGAAAAGAGGTGTCAAGAACCCTCTCTTTAGAAATATACATAATAAATGAGAATTTTAGAAATTCTAATTTTTTTAAAACGCCCTAGAAACCCACCCATGAATTGGGTAGCTTGGTAAACCGCATTCAGAAGTAATTAATTTGAATTAACTCTAACAGCCTGGTTTAGAGCTATCCTAACCAAAGCTGAACCCCGAAAGGATGTTTCCTAGTTGATGAGAGGGGGGGGAGGAGGTTGTTCCCCACAATAAAGGATTAATTGACGGAAATTTGTCTGTAATTCATTTAATTAGAATTCAATACCGGGGGAAATATCAATTTTTTTTCGAGAACATTTTTTTTCAAATAAACTCTTTATTTAAAAAAAATCCTTGAATTTTTGTTATAAAGGTTAAACAAAAATTTTTTTAATTAATTAAAATTTTTCCCGAGGGGCAAATTAAGGATACAGCAGGCCTACACAGCCTGACAAAGGAAACAAGTGGAAACAGGAATAAGACAAAATATAAAGCTGACAAAATTAAAACAGGGACATAAAACAAAATACAACAGGGACATAAAACAAAATAGAACAGGCATAAACAAAATACAACAGGAACATAAACAAAATACAACAGGGACATAAACAAAATACAACAGGGACATAAAACAAAATAGAACAGGAACATAAACAAAATACAACAGGAACATAAACAAAATACAACAGGAACATAAACAAAATACAACAGGAACATAAACAAAATACAACAGGGACATATAACAAAATACAACAGGAACATAAACAAAATACAACAGGGACATAAAACAAAATACAACAAGGACATAAACAAAATACAACAGGAACATAAACAAAATACAACAAGAACATAAACAAAATACAACATGGACATAAAACAAAATACAACAGGGACATAAACAAAATACAACAGGAACATAAACAAAATACAACAGGGACATAAAACAAAATACAACAGGGACATAAACAAAATACAACAGGAACATAAACAAAATACAACAGAGACATAAAACAAAATACAACAGGAACATAAAACAAAATTAGAAAAGTAAACTAGACACTTGACGCAACTGTTTTTAGGCGTAATTCCAAGTGGAAATACAGTGTTTACAAGATTACTTACAAAGACTTTAATAGCGACCTAAACTCTGCAAATATATGATTTGGCAAAAGAAGAGAATCAGTTGTTTAGCTTGCTGCATGTTAGGAACCATAATTGGAGTAAACTGCCAAAAACAAATTCCGTCTCAGAAGCCAGACAGCCATACTTTGCTGTCTGTCTGTCCGTTTGTATCCAATAAACGTCAAAACGGCTGAACCGATAGGGTCACACATTTTGCGTGGGACCTCACATGACTCCATGAAGGTTTATGGATGCCTTATGTTACACGTGACCAAGCGTTTTTGATTTTTGTAAAATTTTGAAAATTGCACGAAAAAATATTATTAAATCCGCACATACAAAGAGAAGATGCTCACAGATAGGGCCACAATTAAAAGTGTAAATAGAAGATGTGCGCGAAGAGCACTAAAAGCCTAGTTAATACAATGTTGTGTATTTTGGTAATTTTTTATTTCAATATTTTCTGATCATTGTATCTTTTCTTGATTAAAGAATTAATTAAGAGTCTCAACGTGAGTGTGCATAATAATTAAAGATTTCATTATTTTCCAATTAAATTTTCGTAATCATATCAGTCTGGAGGGACGTGACTAAATACAGCAAATTTGTTAACAATGGATTAGCTAAATATTCATTATTCAACCAATAGGTTTAAAGAGACTGTAGAATAGGTATGTAGGTTTAAAGGGACTGTAGAATAGGTATATAGGTTTAAAGGGACTGTAGAATAGGTATAGGTTTAAAGGGACTGTAGAATAGGTAGTAGGTTTAAAGGGACTGTAGAAATATAGGTTTAAAGGGACTGTAGAATAGGTAGTAGGTTTAAAGGGACTGTAGAATAGGTATATAGGTTTAAAGGGACTGTAGAATAGGTATATAGATTTAAAGGGACTGTAGAATAGGTATATAGGTTTAAAGGGACTGTAGAATATGTATATAGGTTTAAAGGGACTGTAGAATATGTATATAGATTTAAAGGAACTGTAGTATAGGTATATAGGTCTAAAGGGACTGTAGAATAGGTATATAGGTTTAAAGGGACTGTTGAATAGGTATTTAGGTTTAAAGGGACTGTAGAATAGGTATTTAGGTTTAAAGGGACTGTAGAATAGGTATGTAGGTTTAAAGGGACTGTAGAATAGGTATTTAGGTTCAAAGGGACTGTAGAATAGGCATATAGGTTTAAAGGGACTGTAGAATAGACATATAGGTTTAAAGGGACTGTAGAATATGTATATAGGTTTAAAGGGACTGTAGAATAGGCATATAGGTTTAAAAGGACAGTAGAATAGGTATATAGGCTTTGAGGGACTGTAGAATAGGCATATAGGTTTAAAGATATAGGTTTAAAGGGATTGTAGGTATGATTTTGTTAGCAAACTTTTTTTTAAAGAGTGAATTTAATAAATATGTGATCGTTTTTTTTTATCCTTTAAACCACGTTATGAACCACAATTAGAAATTATCAACCTTCAGATAAAAAAGTTAAAATATCGTTTAAACGATTTTACTGTGAAAATCGGTTAAACCTCTTCAGAAAAGATGGTCACTTGTAAGTCAACGGTATCTTTAAAGTATTAATGCCATCAATTGAATGCACGTTTTTTGGGGAAAAAAACATTTATCTAATAATGGCTAAATCAGTAACAATTTGACCCAAGCATTAAACTCACTATAATCCTGTTTTTTTTGTTTACTTTCTGAGGCGTATCTAAACTTTTGCATTGACGTAATAAGTATATTTCTGTTGAAAGAGGTTAGTTTAAGCCTGTTCATGAAACCCAAGAGATTTAATACAATAAGCAAGGGGCGTCTTCTCTAACTATTTCAGATCAAAACGCTTTTTACGTAATCAAAAAGAATCATTAAAATTAAATAAATTTCCTTGTATCTCGTGCACCATGGTCGCCATTCAAAAACTCGCCTATTTGGAAGCAACAGTTTGTTAGCTGCCATTAAGCTATACAAATCTTATATTCAACAGCAAATCGCTTGTTTGGGAGATATTCAACTTTTGCCGCCCAATAAGTGATTTTTGTAAAATCAACCTTTTACTGCACAATTTTGATTTGAAATTCAGCCGGTATAGTTAGGCAGTTAGGAAATATACACCAGGATTCAGCCTGTACAGTTAGGCAGTTAGGAAATATACACCAGGATTCAGCCTGTATATTTAGGCAGTTAGGGGGAATATACACCAGGATTCAGCCTGTATAGCTAGGCAGTTAGGGAATATACACCTGGATTCAGCCTGTATAGTTAGGCAGTTAGGAAATATACACCAGGATTCAGCCTGTATAGCTAGGCAGTTAGGGAATATAAACCAGGCGCCAACATATCTTTGTTTACTTAAAGAAAATGTACTGTACAATTTGCTACCAGAAATTGTAATACACTTTTTTATGAACATTCGATAAGCTTTGAACTGAGTCTTTGCCACAAAATCAAATATTCTAATGCCTATTTATTTGCAACCTGATGGGGTAAACCTTTGACATTTCAAACTTAGATTATTTTATACAGAACTCGTGGTTTAAACTATATAAGGTTTACAACATTGGGTTGCTCAGATTTATGAATCAAAAATCAGAGTTTGTGGCAAATACTCAATTTCTTAAACGTTAAATAATTCCACTTCGCTCTGCTCGCACAAAAATTAATCCTCATCATTTCTCTTCCTTTCAAAACATAATCTATGAAAATAAAAAGTTAACTTCACATCAATTTATTCTTTGGTAAAATAGATATAATAGATTTTAAACCCACTAAATAATTTAGATACAGTAAAATAACCAGCAAAAAACAGTCATCAAAACACTATTGGAAGAAATCCCAACAGTTTTCTCGTAATATCGCACAAACCAAAAACATTTAGGAATTGTAAACATTTTGTTATAAATAATAGAAATGAACATTTTTGAAAAATTTTATAATTTCTAACAAAATCTTCGAAAACTCGAAATGATTTTGGTTATTTAATATTACTGACACAATGTTTTTGTTTTCCTTACAGTGTAATAAATAAATGAACGAATTCACTGTTTTTGATTCACTCCGTGGTAGTCTGAATTGCAATAATAATTGCAATTTTTCATGCAGTTTAATTATTGCAGTTTTTTATGCAGCTATAAAGTTTGTCCGACTGCAGTTTTTAGATGAAATTATCACAAGATAGTAAAATTTTATTTCTAGAGTTCTGAGACTCGATCCATCGAAGAGATAAATAGAACGGAAGGTTGGATTGATCCAAATAGATTATCAATTACAATAGGTGGCAACATATAAATGAACCAATTATACACAACGTCACAAGAGTCAAATATAACAAGGAAAACGAAATTGTCTCACATTTGTTGACATGTTTTCCAAGATTAAATAAAAAAGTGTTAAAACAGAGACTAAAGAACACATAAAATTGCAGTTATTTCACTGTAAGAAAAGCACTTTAATCTAAAATTATCACTATTATTGATGATTTTGTCGGACACAAAAACTGAATTGACACTTGTGACGACAGAATACAACTGTACTGTGAGTGTACAAATTCTACGTTGCCATCTATTGTACTAGAATCTATTTGGATTGATCGAAAGCTTGGATTGATCGCAAATAGGATAGATATATAGGAAGGCTGGATCGATTTACATGTGGGATCATTTGGAAGAAAGGATCGCTGGGAAGGATGGATCGCTGGGAAGGATGGATCGCTTGGAAGAATAGATCGACCAGAAGGATGAATCGATTGAGAAATATTTGATCACTTATTCGCAATCAATATCCTCTTCATCCTCCTCCTCCTCCTCCTCGATCATCGTGTGTTGGGCGGATCCCTCCGCCCCTCCCTTTAAGGCAGCTGTTTGATCCGCCTCAGTTTCCTCACGTTTATGCTTTGTCCGCCGATTCTGGAACCAAACTTTTACCTAGAAATATTACAAATTTTAGTAATAATAGTAATAATGATAATGATATTAATAATAATAAATATAATAATAATAATAATAATAATAATAATAATAATAATAATAATAATAATAATAATAATAATAATAATAATAATAATAATAATAATAATAACAATAATTATAATATTAATAATCATTATGACAATCTTTAACTTGATAAATATGACATCTAGTAAATAGATTTAATATAAAAACTGTAGTGTGTGATGCAGATGTTTTAAAACTGTCAAGACTCGCCATTTTATTTGTTTATTGGTGAAAACGGGAATTATTTGATTTATAGCTTGTTTGTTACATTCAGAACGTTGTACAACAATAAACAATGTAGGGTTTATGTAGTGCGGCATTGTTTTGTTTTCAATATTCAAAATGGGTCACTTCACATAATACAGTGGTAACCAGAAACAGTGGAAGATTTTCGTCTTTTGTCTTTCTTTTTATTCTAAAATGACATAAATGAAATATTTCTAGGCAGAAATATTTATCAATTATAACAAATTAGAAAATCCACCATTTTTTAGCATAAGGTAATAACAAAGACAACAATTATCCCTAAGTTTTCTGGAAACCATTGTACCCTTGCAAATCCAACATTAACTTTTTCGATAAAAAATATCAAATTACGGTTCAATTGCAATGAAAAACAGTGCACTGTACGTACAGTGTACGTACATTGTAAAGTCGCGTAAAATATAAAATATTTATTGATTTTGCTAAATTAACGTTAAAATAAGAAGGAGTCAAATAACATACTCGCCGGGAAAGGGTGCACTGAATACTAAACTGGAGGGAATGGGGCCGGGGAGTGCTTAAAAATAGTTTAATTCTTAATTCTTTATTTGAATAAATAGGCTGGTCAATCGAAATGTGTGCTCTAACTTTAGTATTCTTATATCTTTACAACCTGATACCGTATGCCTTTGATATTTTAAAATTTAAATTCTGAAGTTTTTTGTTTATCTGTATGTCCATCTATCTGTATTTTATTATAACTATACTATTAATGTATCTGTCTGTATATCTATCTAACTATCTATTAATGTATCTGTCTGTATATCTATCTAACTATCTATTAATGTATCTGTCTGTATATCTATCTAACTATCTGTTAATATATATTTCTGTATATCTGTTAATATATCTGTCTGTATATCTGTTAATATATCTGTCTGTATATCTGTCTAACTATCTGTTAATATATCTGTCTGGGGCTGTTTATGAAAGTTGTCTGTCTGTCATGTTTAAAGGTGAATTAAGCTAGGCGCGGACTCTCATATTTGTCAAATAAAGATAAGAATCAGATAATTTATGCACTGAGCGCTCAGTGACGCAGTGCGCAAACATTTACGTGCGCATTGTGCGCGCAGAGTAAAGCCTTGGAAAATTACATCTTCATGTAGAAAATCGTAAACTTGAAATTTCTCAAATGCACCCATTTTAAATGAAGTACTTAAGGCATCTAAACATAGAGGGGGGGGAGGGGGTTTACGTTATTTAAATAAAAATATTCCTCAGTTTGTCTGTTTATAACACCCCTCTAGATATAAAAGAGGGGTCGTGAATGTGGAGTTAGGGGGGGAGGGGGGATGCTAGAATTAAAACGCTTGGCTGAATGTGTCACTGGGCATATTTGGTCCGTACCGGCTATTACGGTAGATTAACTCCCGACCAATAGGAGTCCGTGTTGGGATCCAGCCAACCAATCAGGATCCAGTATTTTCTAATCTGATCAATCCCCCCTAACTATGTGTCATTTGATGGTTATTTTTACGACAATGACTTTCCAAATATGTCTAGCGTTGTTTAAGCAGGTTCAGATTTAACAGTAGATTTATCAGACTCTATTATTACATGATTGGGGGGGGGGGGTATAAAATGGGGAAAATTGATTACTCCCCTTTTCCCAGAAAATGAATAATCACATCGAGAAAAAATGCGCGGAAGTGGAAATGAATAAATATTTTGATAAATGTAAGAAATGGGGTTGCCAGGAAATGACGATTTTTCTGAACAAGCATAAACATAAACATTAAACATTGAATAAATTATCTTGATTTATAAGAGGGGTGCGTACGGGTCAAAGGGCCTAATGGGGTATGAAGAGAAAGAAGGTTCGAAAACAGTTTTACTATAATAACTTAACCATTATTTGAATACTCTCTCCTCCATACATTCGAGATTTTAATTTACTTTAAAAAGAAAAAGTTCTCTTTCTTATTTTCTCATTTTTTTCTGTTTTCGCTATATTCTACTTTGTTTCCTTATTGGATAAATAAAAGAAATTTTGATAATCTTGCCAATTTTCTTCATTTGCCCATAACACTTAACATTTAGCGCCGCGCCCATAGAACAAAAACTTGAAAGCTATTCTTCATGTTTAAGCGGATTTTCTCAAACATTTAAACCTTTTTCTAAACATCACGATCTTTCTTCAAATCCTCCTCAAAAACAAATTTGTATAGTTTGAAAAAACTTCACCAAATAACGGTCTCTAAGAACATAAAAGAAAGATTTTTTAAAAAAAATCAATGCTTAAGGATTCTAAACATTGATTTTTTTAAATATGTTTTACATAGTGATCCACTGTTTTTTTTTATATTAAACCACGGTTGAAGAGGGTAGAGAGGCTTGGGGGGGGGCTGGAGGGGTATGATCACCTCGTATTCAGGGATTAACGTGTCAGGGGGATAAGTCGACAATGCCCCCCCCCCCTATCTCTACCAATACAAGGGGGAGGGGTTCAGAATAAATCCCATTGGAGGACAAATTTAAGCCACGACTTTTAGGCATTTATACGCTTTCAATGGGAAGGAGAGGGGGAGGGGGGAGGGTATGCACAATAGATCAAGAAAAGATAAAATATAGCAATATGACCTTAATCAAGAAATTTTTAAATCATATTAAGTAAATATATTTTAGTAGAGAAAAATATGTTGTTAAAAATGTAAATTTATTCCAGCTTCGTTTTGATCGTAATATTTTTTCCTAGAAATTTTCTTAGAAATTTTCTTAGAAATTTTCCTAAAAATTTTCCTAGAAATTTTCCTAGAAATTTTCAAGTTCTTTTTTCAAAAGTTTCGAGTCCCTAAAACCAGGTTGCGAAGATATAGGAAGTTAGAAAACTATTGTTTATGGCAATTTCCTTTACGGTAAAATGCATTAAAATTTGGCTCAAAGCCTAGTATTTATAATCTAGACTAAAGAAATCTTTCAGCTATCCCTCCCCCTTTCTCTTCCCTCCCCTACATTAGAATGCATTAAACTTGATCCAACCCCCCCCCCATCCCCCCCTCAACCCAATCTAGCTGTGGGGATGTTTAAGGGATTTAGTCCAATCAGAAACTAGTATAATTTCTAAATAAATTTTTCTTTTAAACAATTTAACCCGAAAAAGCTGATATTTACACCAAAATTTAAGAGAGGCAAGGTATGGGGAATAGGGTTTGCGTACATTATTCTGTAACGTATCAAGACTTCTCAGTTTGAGATCAATTTAAACAACAGTATAAAAACAAACTCGGCGTTCTTAAAAGGAGTGTTTGCGAAAAATGAAATTTTCTCCTCATAGACGCAACAGATAGAAATAAGATTAGTAGCGATCAAAGGCGCTTTTTTATCGCATTAAGTCTAAACCCCCTTTCATTTTTCGCGAACACTCCCTTTAAGAAAATACCCAACTTTGTTAATTATTATTTTGATGTTAATAATACATCACAGGAAAATATAAATGTACGCAAAATAGGTTTATAGAGTACATGGGAGAAAGAAAATTTTAAATGAAGAAATTAAATTCGAGTCGTGTGATGATATGTGTATACCAAGCTGCCTATCTACCTAGCTGCATAGCTGCCTGGATTCATGCATAAATTATCAAAATTGAGATCTCATGCGATACGCTTAGGTATTTAGGCAGGCAGAGAGATTTAATCTTAAATCAGGAATCCTTGAATAATATCTGAAAATTCTACGTTGAAGCGATAAAAAATATGCAAGATCATTCTTATTTTTCGAACGAATAAGACGTTTAAGAAAATTGATAAAAAAACTTAAATTAACATGAAAACATTTACATATTTCAAATTCTATTGTGAAGTTTTAATCAAATGTTTTCGTTGATTTCGTGTTTATGTTCATTATTATAATTGGACATCGTGTTCTTCTAGTTTAAATCATTTGTCAAACTAAATTAACGTACCTCTAGAAACTTAAAATTAATTAATACATTTAAACCATCAGACCTTATTTTTTTAATAGGTCAAACAAGCATTAGTTTTTCTAGTACAGTGGACCCCTTAAAATTGTGGAGTAAAAAGACGACTGTAAGTGTCAAGTTAGGATCTTAAAAGGTCTATTGCAGTGCACACCCCGGACTAACCAGAGTAAGCAGCATTCGGTTTCTTCTATTCGAAATGAAACTTGTTTTGGTCTATAATTCAATAATATTTTACCTTACAGATTTGTTTCTTTTATACTTTTTCATTTAAAATGCATATGGCGACGAAAAAGCATTTAAGAAAAAAGGCTAAAAATTATGTTTAATGGGTCAAATTGTGATCGAAAGTCACAGTTTTCTGGAATATTGACAGAACCGTAAAATCCATGTGTGCACACACACCAATTCAGTTATTGGGAAATTATTTCTACATCAAATTACAAATTGCTGAAATGTCATCTTATTTCACAGTTTAATTGGTCTCACTGTATCATGTATGTGTATACCATTGAAAACCAATAATAGTTGAATCTTGTCAGTTTTGATTTATGAGCATTGATAGGAGCCAAAATATGCAAGTTATCTATATTATTATTATTATTTTCACTTTCACCCTCCCCCCCCTCGCACTTTTAATTAAGTTAAATGACTTTATTACCTGTGTTTCTGACAAGTTTAATGACTTGGCCAGTTCTTTTCTCTCTTGACCGACGACATATTGATTCTTCTCAAAAGCTTGTTCTAATTTTAGAAGCTGTGAGGGAGAGAATGCAGTTCTTATTCTCTTAGGTTTACGGAAAGGTAGAAGAAATTCAGGGAACTGTGGACCTGCACATAATATAGGGTTAGAGAGAGTTCTGTACATAAACATAGATTAAAGAGAGACTTCTGTACATAAATATAGGATTAGATAGAGTTCTGTACATGAACATAGATTATAGAGAGAGTTCTGTAAATAAACAAAGATTAGAGATAGTTCTGTACATAAACATGGGATTAGAAAGCTCCATGTACATGGGATTAGCGAGAGTTCCATGCATTTAACATGGTATTAGAGAGTTTCCAAAAGGCAAACACAGAGATTTATCAAAGCATACATTAACAGAGATATGTATGTACATCCTTATGCACAATATATATCATTGTGTACAATAAAGGTATTTAGGATTTCGCAGTTTAATAAACTAATGCTTGGTTTTAACGACTGAATGGTCTCTATGTCCTAGTGGTTTTAACTAATTATCTCTAAGATCTATAAACGAATTCTCAAAAAAAAAAACTGTATTCGGCTTAATAAACTGTAGAAATGAAAGGCAAACATTTTAAAAAAGAAATCCATATTTTTTTTAATTTTCTGTTTTTTTTGTAAAGAATATTTATTGTGATGTCCCGTGTGTTCTGTATTTGTGAAAAACAAATGAGTGTTCTGCCAATGTTGTGTTGTATTGACCAGTCTGTATACAATTACTGGACTTAGGTCACACAGCGGGGGGGAGGGGGGGGCTGTACATAGGGAAGATGTAAAAGTAGTCAGAAACCACCATCAATTAGCAATCTAAAAAAGTAAATAGTTTTTTTTGAGCCTATGCCAATTTTTTTGTAAGTGTTGGACAACTTAGGTTTTTTCTGATTTTTTTTCATTCTCCCTGAAAAAAATTCTTGCCTTCAAGTTTTGTGGTGTTTGTTTTAAAGCGTTAGGTTGAATATTTGAAACACAGGGGGGGGGGTTAATTACTGTCCCCTGACTTATTGTCCTACACTTTGGTCTAACTTATCGTTTCTTGCAAACCAACTGTAAAGCGTTTCTAATTTTTGTAAATCTAGATTTTATCAAATAACAGAAGAATCTTTGAAACAAATCTTATATTTTGGTCCTATTTGTGTAAATGATCGTAAGAATTACAAATTATATGATTTTGAAAGTTTATATTGTTTGTTTATTGTAGTTTTGTCTCAAACCTACAAATTATTGTATCATTCCAGTCCTCCATTATCTCAGCTATGTTTTCAACTATTTTTCTCTAAATATCAAATTTTCAAAATGGTTTTTGTTACTTCAATGCAAAGAATTAAAATATCTCCATTTCCTTGCTTTGAAAGGCTCGTTTGTAAGTTTTGTTGACTGTAAGAAGTACTTTAAAGGACTGTAAGCTTAATTTCAAGTGAACCTCTATGCAATGCCCGATTCACAACATTACTATTTAAACTTGAACTGACCAAGGGGGACAGATTTTTGCTTATTTATGTACAGACACTGTTGTAATTGCTGATATACCACAGCTAATTCTCTCAGATTAATATGTGCTCGGTAAATTTGGATAGGTTGGTCTAACACAACGTTATCAATACCTAATCAACCCCCTGCATACCTCTGCATGCCATAATGCCTGCTATTTGCCCCTGTGTTACTGTGACTGACCATGAGAAAGATATGTGTTTGTGTGACAAGACAGATACAAGATAGCGCGCCATCTACTTTTCCCATCTTGTACCAAACCAAACCTAAACCGTGGAACTGGATCTTGAGCCACCATTTTGTCCATATATGATCCCAATACAATGTATTCTCAATGCGCGTGTATTTAAAATAAAAATATGATAAATGGTCGGAATCATTAACTTGGATTTAGGTCTGCAGATAGAGTCTATGAAAAATGTCAAAATGATCTAAATCGGGTGGTTTTCCAACCAAACATAGAAAATCTGTCAATTCAATTCTACCCCTGGATTTGACGGATAATGGTTCGTGGATTTATTGATATTGAACATGAAATCTGATTACAAGGTCAAGATACACGACAATGGAGATATTGTATCTTAATGATAAATGTTTAATGTTTTAATCATTAAAACTTTTCCAAAACACGGATTTAGAGAATGAATCTTCATGAAAAAAGATTTTTTAATTCAAGTTTAGATAAACCCACAGTAGTCCAAAGGTTGCAAGCTCTAACGCAACAATCGATGAGAATTCTGCCAATTACTTCTTAAGAACTAAAACTAAAACCAGTTTCTTAATAGTTTAAAATGTACATGTCTAGGACTACACAAAACAAGACTTTAAAGTAATCTCAGAATTATGCAACTTGTCATATAGCTGTCTGGATCTATGTGAATTAAATAAATCAACGATTGAAGGATTTTTAATGGATTTGAGATTAGGAGAATAAAAGATTGACAAGAAAGAGTTAAAAAGTACAAATATTCATATTAAAAACGAAATTTAGGGGAAAATAACAAAATGTTTGAAGATTTCACGCAAAAAAAAATAGATTTTTACAAAAAGACTATTTTAAAACGGAAAATAGTTCTCCGTAAAATTCACAAAAAAGACACACTTTTCGAGTAGAATCAGATTAAGTTCTCAAGAGTATTGTCGTAACTCGGGCATTGGTATCTTTGCAAGGAGGGTCACTTAAAACTACGCTTCCAGTTCAAAAAAGTCTCTAGTTTGTTAAATAGTTAATTTTACCTCCTGGGAATCTGTGTCTGTTTATAAACCAAGGATAAAGAGGATATTCTCTAGGTAGATGGGGAGGTAAACCACTCCCTCCTCCGGATAGGTGTGGAGGTAAACCAGATCCTGCTCCGGGTAGGTTCAACATACCAGGTAATCCGTGTCTAGGTAGACCTGAGAGCATAGGATGGAGTCCATGAAGTCCAAGAGAGGGTGGGAGAAGAGGATGAGGAGGAGGCGAGTTTTCTTGGTTTCCTCGAGCCTCATAGAACGCTTTTAATGAGGCCAGTTGATCTAGGTAGGATTGAGGGTTAAGGAGGGAGGGGGAGGAGGAGGAGAGGGATGTGGGGATAGGACGCATCACGAGGGAGGGGGACGGAGGAGAATCAGATCTGGAATAGTTCAGACCAGGAGAGGGAGATCTTTTGTAATCGGGCGATCTTGACGGTGATCTAACTCTGTAAATTGGAGAACGATCTCGAGGTGATCGGGCGGCGATTGGCGACGGGCATCTGGGTGACATGGATCGGCGGGAATTGTTCTCGCCGACGATTGAATCAATGGAAAATCCAAGTTTGCTCTTGGATCCCGGGTTAGCGAGGAGGGAGGAGGTGGAGCGAGCTGTGAGGGTTTGGGAGAGGATGGATGGGGAGGAGGGGGAGGAGGAGAGAAGAGAATGATGAGGAGAAGAATAAAGAGACATATTCAGTACTGTCATTGCAACATTACACGATCTAAACTATCCTCAAAAGATCACATTCACAGCAATCCTGCTTAAAGCTGATGAAGGTTCGGAGGGAGGATCAATGATAGATTTCTAATGTTTCCTGATATAAGGTAGAAGCTAAACTAATTCACAAATAATTGACTAAGAGAGAGAGAGAGAGAGTGCAGGACGGGTAATCAAGCACGGGCAGACTCTCTACAGTGTACAGTGTTGAGCTGAATACCGCTAACTGTCTCTAACTATGATCTCAGCCATCTACAAACCCGCTCAAATGAACCCTATTAGTGACCTAGGCAAACCGAGAGAGTCGCGTATACTGCCTCCTGATTGGCCACCGGGTGCCGCCAGAGAGTCAGAATTACCGCCAGTCACAGCATCTTTTAAACAAACATATCAAGCCGGGGTTTGGTTGATGATTTGGTATCCAACAGGGCCGCAAGGTACACGCATTCCACAAATGGAGATGATATTTCATTAGATTCTCAAACATGGAAATTTAGCACTGATTGGTTGTATCTGTTTTCAATAACAAACAAACGGTGATACCTGCAATAAACATAACTTAAAAGGAGCGTCGACGTACTTTTAAGTTGCCCTCCATTCTAAGAGTTGAATATCCGATTTGTTGGGGCAAAAATTTTTAAAATGTAGTTTCTCTTTGAAAAATTAAAGTTACTGACGAATTTGTGCATGAAAGAGATAAATAAGTAAATTGAGAGATTTAAACGGGGTCAAAAGATAAAAAACGACTTTATCTTCTTCATTTGTTGTTGTGAATCGAACATACACGTCTTAATTTAGATAAGGTCACTAAAAATTGCAAGCGCTAACACAAAAATCTATGAGAGTTCTGCTAATTAGTAATTACAAGAACTAAAACTAAGAAAAATTGCTGTTTAGTTCTAAAATTTACATGTCTAGGACTGCGAACAAGTATCAGTGAGCTAGTGAGTTAAAATCAAAAGCCAAGGCGCTGATACACTTTAAACACCATAGTTTCAGTAGAAGTAAATATTTCCATTTACTGATAGCGCCGATGAAGGATTCATAACTCTGATTGGATAATGAGATAGATAGAAAGATAGATGTTACCGCCATACTATTTCCATTGGTTCAGAATAGACAACAAACATATGACTGAACCCTGATTGGATCAGGCGCTAATGGAATCGCATACAAGTGTGGTTGACTAGATGACAGTCTCTTTAAGATGGCATGTACCGTTTTACAGCATGCGTGTACACTGTACACAATATAAGATTGTTTTGTGTTTTCCCCTTTCCGCCCCGTTAATAATATAAAAGGAAATTTAAGAAAGTAAACACAGTAATAAACAAACAGCTAACAGATTAAAGAGAAACTGAAACCTTACAAAAAGTCTAGTAGAAAATTTCGTCGGGAAACATAATCAGACGTTGTTAGATCAGGCGTGCAGGGTTACCCGCAAAGAATGAGACTTCAGCTAGAGGCGACTGTACAAAATATACAGAATATACAGTTAGACTTAAGTTTTAAAAAATGGGGGGAGGGCAAGAAATTTATATTTTATTGATTCAAAACGCTTTGGGTCTTGTTGTTTAATATTACAGATAGGACAAGACATTGATAGCTATGAAATAGAAATATTATGAAGGTATGAAGGTATTGATTATGAATAAAAATGAGAATTTCAAAAAAACGAAAAATTAACAGTGCTTTCTAAATCAACTTATTATGTAAAAGGGGTCAGTTTCCTGTGGTTTGTGTTTATCGGGATATTTTAACATGAATCAAACTGTCGTCTTCCTTGTCCATAGCTATATTGATCTTATAGTATCGGTATATGGACGATTTTTTCAAATTCACAGTTCCTTTAAAAGATTAAAAAAAAGACGAAATTCAAACCATGTATTTTTCTGTTAAATTTTTCAGGTCGTCGTTGAAGTCTCATCCTTTTTAGATTTTAAATAAACCGTTAATTTGCTTTTTTGCTAAATAGTTCAACTTTTTGTGGGAAAATTACCAAAGAAACCTTAATAAAAAGGCAAAATACTGTTTAATTTTAATATTGAAAATTTATATAAAAATTGCCACATTTAAACACTATTGATTGCCAAATTAAGTAAAGAAGCACAGGATTGGTAATTCATATAAACCGATTAGGTCTTTATAGATAAATAAAGAAAAAATATTGGAAAACTTTACAATACCTAAAAAGACCATAGAACTTTACAATACTTAAATGAACCATAGAACTTTACAATACTTAAAAGGACCAAAGAACTTTACAATACTTAAATGAACCATAGAACTTCACAATACTTAAATGAACCATATAACTTCACAATACTTAAACGAACCATAGAACTTTACAATACTTAAATGAACCATATAACTTCACAATACTTAAAATGACCATAGAACTTCACAATACTTAAAAGAACCATAGAACTTTACATTACTTAAAAGGACCATAGAACTTTACAATACTTAAAAGAACCATAGAACTTTACAATACTTAAAAGGACCATAGAACTTTACAATACTTAAAAGGAACATAGAACTTTACATTACTTAAAAGAACCATAGAACTTTACATTACTTAAAAGGACCATAGAACTTCACAATACTTAAAAGAACCATAGAACTTCACAATACTTAAAAGAACCATAGAACTTCACAATACTTAAAAGAACCATATAACTTTACAATACTTAAAAGGAACATAGAACTTTACAATACTTAAAAGGACCATAGAACTTTACATTACTTAAATGAACCATAGAACTTTACAGTACTTAAATGAACCATAGAACTTTACAATACTTAAAAGGACCAGGCTTCGATTAAAGATTTGCATGGCTTATTCACAATGGAACTCTATTAACTGTTCTCAGAGTGAGAAGTGTTAAATTCTAACAATTTTCTTCTATGGTTCTGATGCAAAAATGCAGAAGTTACGTAGTACAATAGAATCCACAATTGAAAATAATCAATTACATCTAAAAAAACAATAAAAGTTCCTTCATCCCACTCTAGAATGCCGAGTCCATTAGAGCATGATCCAATCAGGGTTCAGTCACGTATTTGGTGTCTATTCTGAACCAATAGAAATTGCATAGCGGTAACAGCTATCTTTCTATCTATCTCATTATCCAACTAGAGATAAATCCTGCAATCGGCGCTTTCAGTAAATGGAAATATTTACTTCTACTGAAGCTATAGTGATCTGCTAGACATAGTTTTAAATTAATAGTACCGTTGAAAATTGAACATACCACTTTAAAAACAATAATTTCATGATTATATTCCTTCCAACCCAACTATCACTCTATATTTTACAAACTATGTCATTTTTACAATGAAAACAATAACATATCTTCAGATGGCTAATTATCTCTTGTAAACATTGGGTTGCAAAGATATTGAAAATAGACAATCAGAGTTAGTGGCAAAGACTCAATTCCTTTATTAACAATTAATTTCAAACAGTGAACACTTTGTTGAAATATAAAAATATTTCGTGAACATTTTCTTGAATTATAAAAATATTTCGTGAACACTTTCTTTAAATATAAAAATATTTCGTGAACACTTTCTTTAAATATAAAAATAAAAAGCCTAAAATTGTGATGAGGGGCCCGGGAAGCGAAAAGAGTGTTGGGGGCGATGAACCAATCCCCCCACCGTCCTTGTTGCGCCTGCCCTGTCCTGACTAGATATGTAAAGATAAAGAAGCTGAACATCATTAAGTTATGTCAAGTTTGTGAAAAATTAGAAAAATGTTGGTATTTCATTAAACATTCGGTCACGCATACTTTTACAGGTAGTTTAATTAATTAGAAATAGATTGCTGCCGGCCAGGGATAAATATGGGAATTCAAAAAAGTATTTTTTTTTAATTTAAAATATATCTGAAAAAAATCGAAATTTTGAACGAATTAAATTTTTTATTTTTTATCGTTGTCTTTAAATGTAGGTTAATTGGTGGACAGATTTATTGAGCTTTGTCTCAATACGATTAATTAAAAAATGGTTTTGTTTTATTTTATCCATTTACAGAGTTAACCACATAGTATGAGACATTTTATCCATTTACAGAGTTAACCACATAGTATGAGACATTTTATCCATTTACAGAGTTAACCACATAGTATGAGACATTTTATCCATTTACAGAGTTAACCACATAGTATGAGACATTTTATCCATTTACAGAGTTAACCACATAGTATGAGACATTTTATCCATTTACAGAGTTAACCACATAGTATGAGACATTTTATCCATTTACAGAGTTAACCACATAGTATGAGACATTTTATCCATTTACAGAGTTAACCACATAGTATGAGACATTTTATCCATTTACAGAGTTAACCACATAGTATGAGACATTTTATCCATTTACAGAGTTAACCACATAGTATGAGACATTTTATCCATTTACAGAGTTAACCACATAGTATGAGACATTTTATCCATTTACAGAGTTAACCACATAGTATGAGACATTTTATCCATTTACAGAGTTAACCACATAGTATNTAAGAATAATAATAATAATAAGGCTTCTTAAGATAATAGAAAAAAAATGTATAAATACATTGTTTTTGAATATCAAACTCTCTGCGTGTATTATTCAATCGAAAAAATGTTAGAAAATAGAAAAAAAGATTATCCAAATTGTTATCATAACATCAGGAATGTTTTAAGTACTCTGGTTCGACAACTGAAAACTAATGTAATTATATGGCAAGTAATCCAGTTATGCAAAGTTAGATATCTAATCACAGAAAAAATGTGAAACCAATGTTTAAACTTGTTGAAGCGTGTTGGGGCCCCCTTTACTGCCACGTTTCTATTGGGATAAGCCGAGCTGTCAATCAGATAATCCCCTGCGGTATGAAGTTATGAATATTGTCGCTGCGCGGCGCTGTTTACCAATCAACAGAACAATGCGCCGCGGCATTCCATCCGGAATTAGCGCAAAATTACGACATTTTGTGTCACAAAGGGGTGATCGGAGCTATTATTTCGGGACAATGAAGAAGAATTCAATGTGAAAAGGATGCAAACACGAGATATAAATTGTATCCGCGCCTCCTCCATTCTACCTCATCACCTCTCTCTTGTTGACAACAATAATGTAAAGTTATTGATATCTAATTATTGGCGCATTTTTGTGTGGCAGGTCACTGTAAATCCTCTAAAGTGAATTGAATTGATAATCATAAGATAATATTGTTAAATTTTACCCAAAAAACATTTGATTACATTTTTATATATATCTATATCC